GATCAGCTGAGTCAAGGAGGACCTGGATGAAGTTATGGAGATGGAGATAGCTGACTTGGATGATAGACTGGATATGAGAAAGGTTATCCATCACAGAGCCATGGACAGCCATGATTAAAAACAGTCTAGATCAGCCTCCATGACAGAGATAGAATTGAGAGTTTGACACATGGGCAAAATGGGCTGAATTGTAGCTTGCAGAAATGAAACAGTTTGAGACTAGATGTGTGTATTAATGCATCAAAGTCAATCATGTGTCAGGATTCATCTCGCAAACATTCGTCTTTAACTGAAGCACCAAAGGCACCGCAGCACTGACCCCCCCTCAGGCTTGGTGGCTTGTCAATTTCAGCATGGTGATTGCTCTTTTACGGTGATATTAACCAGGCTAAGGGCCAGGGACAGTTTAACTGTGATGCCCACAGAACTGGCCAGTGAAAGTGAGGGAAGAACACACTGACAGCGGAGGTCAGGGAAAAGTATTCCTACAAGGTTATTCCCATTAGCTGATGATATATAAGGACTAGGGAAAGCAGATTCACAGTCGGGGTGATGTGAGGAAGATGTTGCTATATGCAGTGAACAATAATCTTTGGAATTTAGAGGCTATGAGGATGGTGGGAGCAAGGAGAGTCAATGATTTAGGGTGGTTGGATGGGTACTTGAGGGGAATTAACCTCAATAGGTGATAGCGATAGGTGACAGAGTGGAGGAATGAGACTGACTGGAGTACTCCGCGGAGATTGGTCCCAATGCCCACCTCCTGTGCAGTTATGGCTCTGATTAGATGCTGCTTACAAGAGGAGACCCAGGATCTAGAAGCAGAGATTCAGCCTCCTCAATGCATTAGAATACTCACACCTCACGAAGCTCATAGTGATGTGATCTGTGCCATTCACTGTTGGCACCAGCCCGTCAACATTGCCAGCAATGTTACTGGCACCTCCAGGCTCAGTGAAAGACCATAGCAGGATCTCATTGTCAGCCACTCCTCACAGAGTTTGACAGGAGTCAGCTTGTTTCCCATGGACTGCACTCATGTGAATATGGTCGTCAAGAATCGCAACTGTCGAGAGTCGTTTCATGACCAGCTCTGAATTTAACTTCCGTTGGTTCTCGGATGTCCTCAGATCATCAGTCTGTGTCTCTAGATTACTAGCCCAGTGATATTAGCCCAGCAGGTCACCACCTCCCCTGCAGTACAAGATACTGATACTGCTGGGAGCAAGGTTCTTAATAATAGCTCATTCCAGCAGCCCTTGGCTCATGATCCCTCCACACCTTGCGTCAGACATCTGACAGGTGGCTTTGAGGAAAAGGGACATCATGCAAAAATACAGCTGGAGCCTGAGATCTAAATGTCAGGCCTAGGAATGATCTACATGACAATCAGATGTGTCTTGAGCATGCCATTGCTGTACTGCAGAAGTGCTTCAGATTCTTAGACTGATCTACAGGGGCCCTTCAGTAAGAACCTGCCATTCTTCAGAATGGTATTGCCTTGCAGTGCTCTGCAGCTGGTTTGATGTCTACAGGAAAATAAAGGCAGAGAACACTGATCCTATTCAGAAAAGGTAAAAAAAAAAGTAAAATTGACAAATGACACAGTGGTCAGACTCTTATTGAATATTTCAAAACTGAGCTCCAGAATGACCAGTACTTTCATTTTCAGTCATTTTTACTGGCTTTGAATGATGATGAAGGATGATTTATTACCACTTGTACTCTGCAAAGAGCAACACTGTAAAATACAGTGAAAAGCTTCAACTGTTGCCACAAACTGGCATCATTTTCAATAGTTTAAGAATAAAACGAATAAAAAGATAGAACTGAAAGAGAGTCTGTAGTGATTGTAATGAGATCCTGATTGAGGCTGTTAACCTGGTCCAATCAGGGAGCCCTGGCTGACAGATATCATCAAGAGTGTCAGAGGCCCTGTTCACTCTAGGAGCCAGTTCTGAGGAAGCCAAACCAGTGTCAAGTACTTTGCACGTGTAGGTAAAGGGGGACTTGGGCATGGGATACTGGCCTCTGTGGAGTTACTTCAGAGCCCATCTTTGTTCTGCCTCCGCCATGTGTCCTGAGCCAGTGCACCAACAACACATGCGACGCCATCCCTCTGCCACCTGCATCGGACCCATCAACATTAGAGTTGCCACTCTGCAGGTGCCATTGCTGAGTGCACCTCACTGATAGGCTGCCAATGTCAGGTCCCATGTTGCATCTACACCCGCACTGCAACCAGGAGCTTTCAGCTCCTCTGCTACTGCCACCTTGGCAATAACCAGGAGACCCCAGCTCTGGGCCTACTGCGACCAGGAGACCCTAGCTGTGCTGCAGCCTCGGCCATGCTAATGCCTGGAGTCTCTGCTGTGACGTACCATAACCAGGTCCCTGGCTCTGATGCCAGACCAGGCTGCCACCTCCCCAAAAATCCTGCTCCTGCTTCTGCTACTCTCCTCCTCGATGTCACCTTCTCCACTGCAGCCAACAGGAAGAAAATGAAGAGAAGAAAAGGAAAGGAAAGAAGACAAAAATGGTAAGAAGGAAGGAAGGAAGGAAGTGGCCAGTCTGGAGTGGACAGGCCCAGGAGCCTGGCCACCGCCTACCTTGCCGGTGCCACCAACTTGATATTCCCTCTGACAGACCATTCCAAGGAGGTAGTACATGATATGGGGCCAAGGCATCAGCAGTGGGCAATATTGGTGCCTGGTCCCTCTCCATGTGGTTCCTCTCCATGTTGTGACATTCACTCCAATTCCACCAGTTTGCCCACTAAACAGCCAACGACAAAAACTGCCATCCACCTCCCGACACAAAACTGGAGGATTCTAGCTCCTCAGGGGAACTCTTCTCATCTTGTTGCACCACCTTGCACTGGAAGTCCCGTGAGTGATTAACGTCATGAATTAGAATGGTCAAGGTAAGAAGGACTTAAATGCACTGTGGAGCAAAGGGTTAACTATATCTTTGCTCCATGAATATCTGCTGAGCATGTGCATACACAGCCATGCCATAGTAACTCCAGACCACACATGCATCTGGAGTTTGAGTGAGTAGAATTCTATAAAATGTTACCACCCTCTATCCCTTCGAGATACTTATGTTCCTGATCACTCACCAGAGTGTGGAGTGGCCACCTGGTTGTATAAAACTCTGTTTTGTACATTGTATCTGTGTGATATTTAGTTCTGTACCCACTACTTGAAAGAACACTTCCCCCTTCATCCTATCTCTGAAAATTAGGCTGATATTCAGTACCTCAATCTCTATGGATATTAAAGTGGCTGGAAGGTCACCTTTGGGTCCCCGCTCCTTCCTGCTCTCAATTGGAACAGGGAATGACAAAATATAAAGATGGTTTTATCTTGTGCAAGCCTGCTGCCTATACATTGAGATTCCAGTCTAGAGTATCTCGAGCTGTGGGTATCTGTACCTCCGCTGTCTGTGAGGGTATTCTTATCATTAAATAAGGTGCTTCATCTCCTTATCTATAGTAACATTTCTTTATTTACACCTGTATGTTGTAGGTTCTCAAATACAACTCCCTCATGCAGGGTCTGAGACCTCTCTCCTCACATGCTCATTCTCGACTGTTGTCCTCTCTTCTACTGATGTCAGTATTGGCATAAATTTCATGATAGCACAGAGATGAAAAGACAAGGAGGTCAAAATAGGGATATGAACACATATGGACAAGAAGCAAGAGTAGGCCACTTGGCCCTTTGAATCTGCTGTACCATTCAGTAAGATCACATCCCACCTTATTTTAACCTCAATGTTACATTCCTGCATATCCTCAATCTTTCACCCTCTTCAGATGTGTGCAACTCAACAATGGGCTACAGAGAGCAAGTTCAGAGGGGCAAGGAGGAGCTGAACTTGGTCTGCTTGGATCTACACATGCACACTTCAGAATCAAGCTCAGGAGGGGAAAGCTCAGCTCATCTACAGAATGACTTTGAATTCCTGCTGATGTGTGAACAAGGTTCTCTGTCATGGTATAGATTGGGTTCCCTTCACTTCGACGCAACATAGGTCAATGCCAGCTATCATAATCTATGGTGATTGTAGCAGATAGCACTCTCAAGACCATAAGAAACAGGAATAGGAGTAGGCCATTCGGCCCCTTGAGCCTGCTCAGCATTCAAGAGGATCATGGCTGATTCAACACACTTTGCTTCCACTCTTCTGTGTTTTCCCCATAACCCTTGATTCCCCGACCGATCAAGAATCTATCTATCTCAGTTTTAAATGTACAAGGTGAATATGCTCCCCCAGCTCTCTGTGACAAGGACTTCCAAAGACACTCAACCTGCTGAGGGAAGAAATTCCTCCTCATCTCAGTCTTAAACTGTCACCCCTTTATTCTGAGACCATGCCCAATCGTCCTAGACTTGCCCATGAGGGGAAACATCCTCTCAGCATTTACCCTGTCAAGGCCCTTAAGAATCCTAGACAAAGGTGCAGGGCTGGATGAACACAGCAGGCCAAGCAGCATCATAGGAGCAGAGAGGCTGACGTTTTGGGCCTAGACCCTTCATCAGAATCCTTAAGAATCCTATATATTTTGATGAGTTCACCTCTCAGTGTTCTAACTCCAGTGAGTAGAGTTCTAAGCCGTTTAACCTTTGCTCATAAGACAATCCCTCCCCACCAGGAATTAACCGAGTGAACTTTCTCTCTACTGCCTCCAATGAAATGATATCTTCCCTTAAATAAAGGAATCAAAACTATTCGCAGTGCTCCAGATGTGGCCTCACCATGACATTGTACAGTTGCAGGAACACTTCCCTACTTTTATATTATAAGGACCTGTTGGCCCTTCCATTATCCTTCCTGATTCCCTGCTGCCCCTGTGTGCTAGCTTTCTATAATCGTGCACTAGTAACCCCACATCCTTTTGTGTAGCAACCTTCTTCGGTTTTTCTCCATCAGATAATGCACTGTTATTTTGTTCTCCATTCCAAAATTAACGACTTCACGTTTTCCCATATTACCTTTTTGCTTCTAGGCTTGGTTCACCTTTTAGTGTCACATTCCAACCAGGACACAGGCCCTCAGGACACACGGCTTCAAACTGCCCACAAACAGAAAGGTTAACAACATATAATCAAAAAATCCATTTCAGTTTAAATACGCAAATATACACACATCATTTCCTAAAGTGAAATACTGTGGATGCTGAAGATCTGGACTAAAAACAGAAAGTGTTGAAAAGAAACGCAGCACTTTAGGCAGCATCTGTGAACAGGAGAGACAGAATTAACATTTCAAGGCCAATACGACTCTCTCTTTCTGAATTGAACAGTGCTGGAAAAGTGATGAGTTTATGTAGGAGGAGAAAGGGGAGGGAGGGGAGCAAATGGAGAAGGCATTCTAGAAAATAGAATCCCTCCAGTGTGGAAGCAGGCCATTTGCCCATCAAGTCCACACTGACCCTCCAAACAGCATCCCATCCACCCTATCCCTGCATTTCCCTTGGGTAACCCATATTGCCTGCAAGCCCTTGGACACTATGGGCAATTTAGCATGGCCAATCCACCTAACCTGCACATTTTGAACTATGGGAGGAAACTACACTACCCAGAGGAAACCTACACAGACATGGGGGGAAGGTACACAAACTCCATACAGACTGAGCCCGAGAGCAGGAATTGAACCCAGGTCCCTGGTGCTGTGAGTTAGCAGTGCTAACCACTGAACCACCATGCTAGCTCAAGACAAAGGGAGTGGATAAAGTATAGGTGTTACTGATAGATCTTAATAGCAGAAAATAGCTCAATTCTCTGGAGAACAAACTCATGGAACAAGATACTGGTGGAGATGGGGAGTGATGAAAGTAGAGGGCTTCTCCACATTGCCAAGACCAAATACACACCGTGTGACTGCTCTGCTCTGTCTCCAGAATTGACTCCTACCTTTCAGTCACTTTCTATTTCAAAGCATCATCTTTCTCTCCTGCTAACATTTCTGTTGCAAGCTTGATGTAGTCTCCCAGCAAAGACCAACGTAAGCTGGAGGAACATCTCCTCATTTTCTGCTTAGGCACCACACAGCCTTCAGCTCTCAGCCCTGAGTTCAACAATTTCAGAGCACCAGGATGCCCTCTATCATGGCAGATTTTAACAGGCAAAGGCAGGGACAGTGTGTGTGAACACTGGGGTGTGTACGATAGTCCTGGTAATTCTGGAAAGATGAAGCTCCAAGCCTCCTTGTCCTAAGGTTCCTCACTGTGCCAGGTGTACATGGTTGGGGCAGTTCAACTGGCAGAGGTGGGAATTCAGCAGCAGGAGAGCACAACCTGTGAGCAGGGGAAGGAGGAGGGTGGGGTTGGAGGGTAACTCATAATCAGGGCTTGGAGGAAGTTCAGGGCAGGGCAGACCCAGAGGAATCCCTCATTTCCACATGGAGGTTTGCTGGCTCACTAAAAGGAGTGGTGCTAGCTACCTGGGCCCACAGCCAGTCAACAGCAAAATATCATTTGTAATTATAAAAGGGCCGAGTATGCACCAGGAATATAACTGGAGTCCTGGAAGGTGTGTTCTTTACACATAGCACTGCCTTCCCCTGATTAGTCCTAACTCCACCCAGGCTTCCACTAGGAGGCTGGTTGAGGTGGGCGTTACAAAAGGCTGACAGCAGGCTTTAATGGCCCCCTTAACAGGCCTGTACCGATGTGTAATATTGTACAATGTAAAAGTCACCTTGGTTCTACTGGACCATAGAACTGCACTCTCAATGTATAATATGTATTGTGACAATGTAAACGTCAGAACTTTAGAAACCGTTCATGGATTGAGAGATTTAAGCAATATCTCTTTCTGGAATTAACTGTTTCCTAAGATAGAGGATAACAAATTAAAATATCTCAATGTCTCAATTATTTACCCCTTCGCAACAAAAATGGGTCGAAGCTACATAACATATCATTTTAACAACTGTTTGATAAATGGCTGTCTTCTTTTACAAGGATAAATGATTTCCCTGCAGAAGAATTTAAGGAGTTAATGTCTATAATGGAACAGACAGTTAACAAGTAACACTGAATGTACCAAGGAACAGAGAAGCTACTCCTATTTTTAAAAAAAAGCAAGCTACAGACTTGGTGACTTCGGAAGTTTCATAAATAATGACACACCACTAACTTAACAAGACATAAAATCCTGTAAGAATTCAACTTTGGGATTCTTTGACAGCAGAACTCCAGAGAACTACATTGTACAAGAACCAAAAATTGGGAATACCCAAAGACCGATGCTGTTTGTTGCAATCATAGCTAAATTCCACCCTTCATCAACGAATAAATAATTGAGTTGTGAAGCTTAAATTGCTTACTTGAGGGACCTTATTTGGGTTGATATATGCAATAAGGTTTAAATAATTGTTTCAGTAATTGATTGCCTGAGATGTTGTAATAAGTAGCCAACTTAAAAGGCAGGTTGTGGTAATTTACACACAAGTGTATTGTGTAATCTGTATAATATCTAATAGTGTAAAATGTGTAATTTGTAGCATGTATAATATTTTACAATGTGTAAGGTTACAATCTGGAAGCAATTTAATATATGGAAGAGTCTATAACCACAGGTTGAATATGAAAATTGGATTGATTATATTTTGTTATTAACATTTGTTGAAAGTCAATCAATTGAATTAATATTGCTGAGTCTGCTACCTTGTTACTTAAAGATATTTGCAATATTTATAGCTATTCAGTTTAGTTTTTTATGCTGTGTATTAACGTAAGTGAATATATGCTTGATGGCAATGAATATATTAAGTTCTAATTTGCCTCAGGCTAAATATTTTCAAATCTGCATTGAATGAGAAATGTTCAAGAAAATCTTGGGAAGTATTGATGAGCACTATAATTGTGAGTAGTCAGATCAATGTCTGAGATAATATTTGAATATATTCACATCCTCAGCAGGTTTCAGCTTCATTGATGTAAAACTACTGATACTGACTCTAACCTTACACTGAACCCTCAGGGGAACCTTGGTGTCATTCTCAGCTGAGCAGACATGGCTACAGAATTCTACATTGATTATCCCATTCAGGGATTTAGCTTCTGCCTCACAGCAATGCATGCTTCAATAATTTGTTACCTTCCAGAAGCCAAATGAAGTTGTTCAACAACGTGGCATTTAAGCAGTCATAAATCAGCACTAAAGTTCACACTGTGTTACAGGATGAAATGATTCTTATGCAGAAATTGCCCTGGAATTATATATATAATAGTTGTATATATAGAAGAGTGCATGTGTGGTTATTGACTGTGGACAGTCTTTGGCTTGGCTGTGATGTCCCCTTGATTGAATAGCCTATCAATGCATATTTTAAATGTTTATGTTCAAGAGTCTGCCTTCAGTGGAAATGAGAGGTGAGGGGAGATTTTGACAAAGATTGATATAAATAAACGTGAATTTCTATTCATCTGAGCAAACTATAAACAGCAAACAACAAAACTGTTCATTACAAAAAATAGTTGTAATTAAAAAGGCTTAGGAAGATTAGCAGTGGATTTGACAGGTGCATTGCTATCGGGCAAAAGGACTCCATTCAGCTGAATGTGCCTGCACTGGCTCCATTAACTAGAGCTAGTCTCCTGCTTTCTCCCCATAGTCTTGCATACTATTTTCTGATCAAGCTGTTACTACACGCCTGTGGAGCAAGTGGGACTTGAACCCAGGCCTCCTAGCTCTGACAGGTAGTAACATTACCACTGTGTGCCAAGACCTCCTTGCTCTATACAAATGCTCTCTTGAATGCCTCAATCGAACCTGCCCCACCACATTTCCAGGCAGTGCACCCACTCACTCTATGAAAGTGTGTTCTCACATCACCCTTGCTTTGTTTGCACATCACTTTAAATCTATGTGCTCTTGTTCTTGAGGACAGATAGTAGGAACTGCCGATGCTGGTGAATCTGAGATAACAAGGTGTAGAGCAGGATGAATACAGCAGGCCAAGCAGCATCAGAGGAGCAGGAAAGCTGATGCTTTGGGTCTGGACCCTTCTTCAGAAATGTTCTTGTTGCTTTTATTGAGCAAGAACAGCTTCTCCCTATCCACTCTCTTCAGCCTATCCATGATTTTGAAAACCTGTATCAAATCTCCTCTCAACCTTTTCTCCAAGAAGAATAATCAATCCTTATAGTTGAAGTTTCTCATTCCTAGAACCATTCTTTCATGAATTTTGAACTCGTAAATAGACTGAACTCCATCTAAAATGGCTCCCTTGTGAAAGTGAATGCCCTTTTCCTGAACTAGAAGCACGTAGAATTCAAGCACGCCTACTAAAATGAAAGATAATAGAAGATGTCCTAACATGAAAAAGATAAACAGACAGGCATTCTCCCATACCCATGTCCTGTTTCCACTCTGAAAAGTTCTCTGCAATGTGGTGAAAGTATTCCTTAAGAAATCCAAACCCGGAATTCGTCAAATTGGTATTCAACCATAAGCCACAATGTTCTCTCAAAACCACTCCCAGTCTTGTAGCTAGCCTCTAGTTTAGGAATAATCTTTCATCAGAAACCTCAGGCTGAATTATAGGTGAGGTTAAAGGACAGTCATGGTTACTGTTACTGCATGATGCAATGTAAACGCAAATTGGATCTAGTCGAAATCAATGTTGTCTGTTGGATTGAGCCTGATATATGTTGATAATAAATTAAGTCTTGAAATGTTATAGGTTATTGTCAGCTGTAGTCAGTGGTTTGTTGTCTCCCTTCTGACTGGAAAGGCTGTGAGTTTGGCCAGCTGCAGACTTGAACATGAAATCTAGGCTGACCAACCCAGTGCTAGAGTGAGGGAGAGTTGGTTGTGTTGTTATTAAACCATGCCTCTGTATTCACAGGGTGACCAACCTTCCCTAATTGTCTCAAAATTTGGATATGTTGTCCCACACCTTCAGTTGATCCTGTTTGAGATTCAGTTTGATCATGATTGAGATGTTAAAAATATGAGGTACATAGATAGGATAGACAGGAAGAAACTGTTCCTCTTATTGGAGTGATCAATGACCGGGGGCATAGATTTAAGGTAAGGGGCAGGAGGTTTTGGGTTTGTGAGAAATGCTTTTTCACCTGAAGGTGATGGGATTCTGGAACTCACTGCCTGTTAGAGTGATGGAGGCAGAAACCCTTATAACATTTAGCCTTCTTCTTTCGAAGAAGTACAATCAATCCTCATAACTGAAGTTGCTCATTCATAGAACCATTCTTGTAAATTATCATGAACTTTGAACTCTTTAATAAACAGAATAAACTGATGTCCATTTAGGATGTATTTAGATGTGTACTTGTGATGCCAAGTCATACAAGGCTTTGGGTCAAGTGCTGGAAAATGGGATTAAAGTAGCTAGATGCTTGTTTTTGACTGCTGCAGACTTGATGGGCTGAAGGGCCTTTTTGTGCACTGTAGCCCCCAGTGACTCTCTGACATGTCTCAGATCTTGTCAGTCTCATTTGACTACTTTACTGCTCATGCTTCTGAAGAAAAGTCATATCGGATTGGAAACGTTTACTCTGTATTTCTGTCTCCACAGATACAGATACAGTTAAACCTACTGAACTTCCTCAGATTCCAAGAAGAAGAATAGGGGAGTCTTCCCAGTTTCCTGCCTAATATTTGTCACTCAAGCAATGTCACTAATAAAAGAGGTCACCTGGTCATTGAATTGATATCTGAGAGAATTTTCTGGGCACAAAATGTCAGCCATATTTCCTACATGACAACAGTGACTGTATTTCAGGTGAAGTACTTCATTGACTGAAAAATTCATCAAAGCTCAAGTATAAATATACTCTTTTTTTCTTTATATCGATTACTCAAACCTTTGTTTCCATAGTCAGATGCGTGCACATTTTGGCATTTTCCAGGCTTGACCAGTCGTCAGATCATAGCATTATGGAAGGATTACTGCACAGGAAGGTGTGATTTGATCCATCATGTTTATACGGGCCCCCTGCAAGAAGAATTCAATATAGTCCTACTCCCCTGTTCTTTCCCTGCAGCTCCATAAATATTTTCTCTTCACATAATTATCTAATTCTGTTTTGAAAATGATGATCAAATCTGCCTCCACCTCACTCTCAGGCAGTGCATAGCAGAGCAGAAACACCCACTGTGTAAATGTTCTTGATGCTGCCTTTGGTTCTTTTGCCAATTGCTTTAATTCAGTGTCCCCTACTTGTCAAGTCAATCAGAACAGTTTCTCCTCATCTACTCTGTTCAAGCCCCTGGGGAAGTTGAGTACACAAATCAAATCTCTCTTCCATCTGAGCTCTAAGAGAACATCCTGAGCTTCACCATCTGAAATCTCTGATCCCCTGAACCTTTCTTGTGAATCTTTTCTGCACCTTCTCTAACATCCCACCCTTCCTTAAGTGGGAGGCAGAGATGGACATAATTCTCCAGCTCAGTCCAAAACAACACTTTGTAAGATTCCCCTTATTTTCATGCTACACACAAGTTAATTGGCTGCTTTTGACCAGTGTGGACTTGATGGCCTTTTTTTTCTGTGCTGTAGATGTTTACAGCTCCATGCTACTATTTAGAAAGGTCCTATTCATCGTCTTTACCACTTTATGACCCAGCCTTGCCAATGCCCAGGATGGGCTTTACCCCTCCGGGCTCTTTGCTCCTACACCCTCTCTAGTCTTGTTCTTCCTCACCAAAATGTTTCAATTCACACTTCTCTACATTAAACTTGGTCTGCTATGTCTCTGCTTATTCCACCAGCCTATGTCCTCTTGAAGTCTCTCACTATCTCCTCTCAGATCACGATACCTCCACTGTTTATGTCATCTGCTCTAACGTACTACCTTTTTCTAGATAGGAACATCAAAATACTTCCACAGGTGATGCAGAACTATATATACCACAGCAGAGAGATCGGGATAGGGCTCTGGATGAAAAATAGTGACTTATGGTATCACTTTGAATCTAGCATAATTCTCTTTAATATCCTGCAGCTGCAGGTAAGAGACTTGGAATACTGCAGTGAGTAACTCACCTCCTGACGCTCCACACTCTGTCCACCATCTACAAGGCACAAGTCAGGAGTGTGATGGAATAATCCCCTCTTGCCCTGATGAGTACAGCTTCAACATTCAAGAATATTGACACCATTCAGGTCAAAACATCCCAATTGATTGGCACCACATCCACAAATATCCACTCCCTCCATCACCGATACATAGTGACAACTGTCTACACCATCCACAAGTTCCACCACAATGACTCACCAAGGTTCCCTAGGTGACAGCTTGTTAACTTGTGATCTCTACCACCTAGAAAGAGAAAGATAGAAGATGCATGGGAACACCATCCCAGTGCCCCTCCAAGCCAGTTTCCATCAAGACTTGGAAATATATTGCTGTTTCATTGCTGATCTTGGCCATCTTCTGCAGGACAACAAATGCTGACCTTACCACATCAATATGAAAGAATTTGTTTTAAAAAGATTAAATGCCATCTACATGATAATTTTATTTAAAGCTATAACCTGAGCATTATAATGTCCACCAGGGAAGGAAATCTTCCATCTTTACTTGGTCTGGCCTACATGTGACTCCAGACCCACAGCAATGTGATTAACTCTTAACCATCCTCTGGGCAGTTAGGGATGGGCAATAACTGCCAACCTAGCCAGGGACACCCTCCACCCATAAATATTTTTAAAAAATACTCAACTGTAAATCCTATTGTATTTTAAAGTTGAAAGCTCTCACTAAGCAATATAACAATTAAACTATTAAGTCAGCTGGTTAACTTTGACAAATATTTCCATTTTCAGATACTTATTCGCCTTTCTTGGTTCTTTTGATTAAATTTCGGTTTTATTTTGAAACAATTACTTCCACATTCTGTTTTTAGCAGTAAATGAAACTGCACTTTGGTACAGTGAGTGGAAGAAGGAGTTTCATACGGAATGCATCTCACATTGCCTATCTAACAACTGCCTGAACAAACAAGGGTTGAGGGACACGGTGCAGTCAATAAGTCGTTCAACTGTGCAGCTGGAAATGTTAGAAACTCGACACTCACCTTTAAAGCCATTTTATCTGTTCTGATCCAGCTGTGCACTGAGAATCTGGCTTCACATCGGTTCCAGCTGGGAAACAAATATAAAGAAGAATTGGGACCACGTGAGACAGGATTATCGACTTGACAAAGCAGATGCAGGGAGCTGTGTGCCAAACACAGGAAAGCTGTGTTTAGTCTGTGACTGTGAATCAGACATAAAATCGTCTGATGAGAGGAGAAGAGATTGGAATTACTATGTTGGAAAACAGTGCTTCAACCCTGCCCACCCCCAGATCTGTCGAGTGGCCCCCGCGGGTGGTCCGTGGACCTGAACTCCCTGCTGTCTGATAGATGATTCATGACAAAGAGCTGAAATTTGCCAAAAATACACTAAGTGTCAATTTTGGGGAGTTTCAGCGGACGGTATCTGTCAGTGAGACAGAATTTTCCATTGCTTGCCTTAATGTGTACGCACTGTGCCTGACGATGCCCTGCTAAATATCGGGTGTTTGCCAACAGCAAACATACCCGTCGCTACCGGGACCCCTCGGGATTTCCAGCACCGTATTGAAATCACAGATCTCCACCAGAACAAGCATTGCTGGCCCGGTTCTACCCTTCACAGTGTACATGATGGGAGGGAAATGAAAAAACAAAAGCTGCTGAAGGCACATGGGTGACTCTTCATTGCAAGCGCAAGCTTAAGTTTCGTAAATGTTTGGCTGTTTTACATCATCCGTCTGTTTGACTGTCTTCTGAACTGCAACTACAAGAATCAAGATATACAATAAAAACCGAAAGAGCTGCGGATGCTGTAAATCAGGAACAAAAACAAAGTCGCTGGAAAAGCCCAGCAGGTCTGGCAGCATCTGTGAAGGAGGAAACAGAGTTAACGTTTCGGGTCACCCCTTCACAGATGCTGCCAGACCTACTGAGCTTATCCAGCAACTTTGTTTTTGATCAAGATGCAAAGCTACCTGTCCTTTGCTCCATACTATGCTAGAACACTGTCTACTCTTCCATCAGCTCAGCATAACATTTTCTTATTGTTCACTGTGGGAACATCACATACTGGAAAGCCTTTATTCAATTTGTTGAAAACAGTAATTTTTAATAAGCAACAGCAAAAGCAAAGAAAAGGAAACCACTGCCTTTGCTTCTGGGAACAGAGACCACTTGCCTTTTGTGTCATAACAAATTTATTGTTCATGACAATTATCACTGCACTCAGCTCAGATCTAACTGGAACTGGGTGTCAGTGAAGTCCAGTCTGATTTGTGCGTGATGCTGCTCCACTCTCTCTCGCTGAAGGTGATGTTTCTCCTGGTCAATGCCTTCATCTTCCTCCTCAGAGCCTGCTGCTGCTCTCCCAGCTCTTCGGCTGATCTGTGACCTAACTCAAGATACCTGTCTTTGACCTATATCCCTTAATACTGTTTAATAAAAATACTTCTATCTCAGTTTTAAACTTAACAACTGATCCAGTTCCAAAGACAGTTCCAAACCTCTACCAACCTTTGTGTGTTGAAATGCTTACTAACATCTCTCCTGAGTGGTTTGATCCGATTTTTTAGATGATTAGGGTAATAATCTCTGGATTACTACTAGTGCCATGTGAGATAAGGACAGAAAGATAGGACAGATGAATGCATGGCTAAGGAGCTGGTACAGGGGACAGGGTTTCAGGTGCTTGGATCATTGGGACTTCTTCTGGGGTAGGGGTGACATGTATAAAAGGGATGGGTTGCACATAAACTGCAGGGGAACCAATATCCTCCCAGGAAGGTTTGCTAGTGCTACTCGGGAGGGTATAAACTACAGTGATGGGGCTGCGAATCAGAGCAGCAGGTCAGCAAGTGAAGGGATTGAGGGGAAGGTAGATGTTAGGACCAGTAAATCAGAAAGGAAGGATAGGCAGAGACAGGTATTAATGGTCTGAACATGAAAGCTAAGAAGTAAGTGCAGCAGGCTATAATGAAGGCTAAGGAAATGTCAGCCTTTATCGCAGGAGCAGTGTAGTCTTGCTGCAAGTATTGGGTTTTGTTTTGGCCTCCTTATCTCAGGAAAGATATTCCTACCATACAGGTACGAATGGGCTGAAATGTGTTTATTTCAATGCAAGAAGTACTATCGATAAGGCAGATAAGCTTAGATCTTTAGGACCTGGGACTATGATGTTGTAGCCATGACAGAGACTTGGTTGAGAGAGGGACAGGACTGGCTGCTCAATGTCCCAGGGTTTCATTGTTTTAGATGAGATAGAGAGGAAGCTAAAAGAGGTGGAAGAGTTAAATTACTAATCAGGCAGAATGTTACATCTGCAATCAGAGAGGACATGCTGGAGGACTCATCCATTGAGGCAATATGGGTCGAGCTTAAAAATAACATTGGTGCAGTCATGCTGATAGGATTATACTGTAGGCCCCCCCAGTAGCCACCAAGACATTGAGGAACAAATATGTAGGTAGATTATGGAAAGATGCAACAAAAAGAGTTGTCATAGCAGGTGACTTTTAACTTCCCCAGGGTTGACTGGGACTCCCTTAGAGCAAGTGCCTTAGACAGGGCAGAATTTGTTGGGTGCATCCAAGAGGGTTTCTTGAAACAGTATGTGGATAGTCCAACTAGAGAAGGGGCCATACTGGACCTTGTACTGGCTAATGAGCCTGGCCAGGTGACTGATCTTTCAGTGGGAGAACATTTTGGAAACAGTGAACACAACTCCTAAAGTTTTAAGATAGCTATGAGTAAGGGTAAGTGGCAAGGTACTAAATTGGGAGAAGGGAAATTATGTCAGTATTAGACAGGAGCTAGATAGTATTAGTTGGGAGGAACTGTTATCAGGCAATGAAATGTGGGAGTTGTTTAAATACCTGCTGATGAGAGTTGAAGACTGGCATGCTCCATTAATGAGGAAGAACAAGGTTGGCAAGGTAAGGGACCCTAGGATAATGGAGGAGGTTGTAAATTTAGTCAAAAGGAAAAAGGAAGCAAATGTAAAGTTTAGGAAGCTAAAATCAGACAGGTCTCATGAGGAATATAAAGAAAGCAGGAAAGAATTCAAACAGGGAGTTAGGACAGCAAGAAGGGACCATGAAATGACGTTGGCAAGTAGGGTTAAAGAAAATCCCAAGGTATTCTGTACATACATTAAAAACAAAAGGATAACAAGGGAGAAGGTAGGACCACTGAAAGATAAAGGGGGGACCTTGTGCTTGGAGGCAGGGGATGTAGGTGAGATCCTAAATGAGTACTTTGCATCAGTATTTACCCAGGAGAAGGATACAGAGGATAATGAGATTTATGTGGAACACACCAATATGCTACGGCAGTTTGAGATCAAAAAAGAAGTGGTGTTGGGTCTCTTGAAGAGGTGAATAGGTCCCCAGAGCCCAATCCTATCCACCCCAGGTTATTGAGAGGGGCAAGACAGGAGATTGCTGGGGCCTTGACCAAGATCTTTGTATCCTCGCTAGCCATGCGAGAGGTCCTGGAGGACTGGTGAGTAGCTAATGTTATTCCTCTGTTCAAGAAGGGAAATAGGAATAATCCAGGAACCTGAAGAATCCAGGAACGGTGAGTCTCGTATCAGTAGTTGGGAAGCTTTTGGGGAAAATTCTTAGGGATAGGATTTACACGCATTTGGAAAAATATGGCCTAATTGGAGACAGTGAGCATGGCTTTGTGCGGACCAGATCATATCTTATTAACTTGATTGAATTTTTGGAGGAGGTGACAAAGGTGATCGATGAGGGTAGAGCAATGGATGTTATCTACATGGATTTTAGTAAGGCTTTCAAGAAGGTCCCTCATGGTGGGCTTATCCAGAAGATTAAGACGCATGGGATTCATGGTGACTTGGTCATGTGAATCCAGATTTGGTTTGCACATAGAAGGCAGAGGTAGTAGTGGAAGGGTGTTTTTCAGGCTAGAGGTCCATGACTAGTGGTGTTCCGCAGGGATCTGTACTGGGACCTCTGCTGTTTGTGATATACACATGTGTATAAATGAAAATGTAGATTAGTGGGTTAATAAGTTTGCAGATGATACAAAGATTGGTGGAGTTGTGGACAGTGCAGAACGTTGTTAAAGAATACAGCGGGATATAGATCAGTTGCAGATATGGGCGGAGAAATGACACATGGAGTTTAATCCGGGCAAGTGTGAGGTGCTGCAGTTTGGAGATCAAATGTTAAGGAAAAGCATACAGTTAATGGCAGAACAGCATTGATGTACAGAGGGATCTTGGGGTTCACGTCCATAGCTTCCTGAAAATGGCCATGCAAGTAGATAGGGTGGTAAAGAAGGTGTATGATATGCTTGCCTTTATTGGTCGGGGAATTGAGTACAAGAAACAGGATGTCATGTTGCAGCTTTATAAGACTTTGGTTAGGCCACACTTGGAGTATTGCATTCAATTCTGGTTGACACATTACAGCAAGGATATGGAGGCTTTGGAGAGGGTGCAGTAGAGGTTTATCAGGATGCTGCATGGATTATAGGGTATGAACAATACCGAGAGGCTAGAAAAACTCATATTGATTTCTCTTGAGCAGTGGACGCCGAGGGGAGACTTGATAGAAGTTTATAAAATTATGAGATGCATAGATTGGGTTGACGATCAGAATCTTTTACCCAAAGTTGAAATCTATAAAACTAGGAGGTATTTAAGATGAGGGAGGAAATTTCAAATGAAATGTGAGGGGCAAGTTTTTAACACAGAGAGAGGTAGGAGTCTAGAACGCGCTGCCAGAGGTAGTGGTGAAGGCAAATATGATAGGGGCATTTAAGAGACTTTTAGATAAACACATGAATATGCCAGGAGTGGAGGGATATGGACCCAGGAATAGCAGAAAGGATTAGTTTAATTTGGCATCATGTTTGGCACAGTATCATGGGCTGAAGGGCCTATTCCTGTACTGTGCAGTTCTATGTTCTATATTCAATGATGCTGCCTCATTCGAAAATTGATTCCTCCCAGAAAAGTGGGATTTTTCCATATAATGTTCCATCTGTTGTATTCTTTCCCATTCATTAATCTTGTCCAATTCCTCCTGAACCCATTTGACAGCTTCCTCCCAACACACAGTTCCACTTACCTTTGTATCATCCACAGTTTTGGAAATATTACATTTGGCCCCCACCTCCAAATCATTGATATGTATTATAAACAGCTGGGACACAAGTATTGATTCATGTGGTATCCCAATAGTCACAGCCTGCCATCATAAGAATGACCCATTTATTCCTCCTCTCTGCTTTCTGTCTGTTAGCCAAT